TTGCAAAATCGAGTTACCCATTGCATATAACACATGTAGGTGTTGAAATTACCTTGAAAAAATCGAAGCCCAAGCTCGATTTTGGTTGATTTCGAAATTTTTCGAAAAAAAAAAAATTTTCTGAAATTTTTGGAATGGGGGGTAATTGGAGAGAATTTCGAATTTTAGGGGTTTTAGAGAGATAAACTGTTTTTTACTTTGAACGGTAAATAGCACTTATTAGCCCGTAAAGAGCATTTTCTAATTTTATTTACACTTTTATATAAATTTTGGAATTATTAATTGTTTCATTTTCTTAAAACAAAACAAATTGCTTTATTTCTTAAATGATCAATTTCATTTTATTAAATTAAGTTTATATAATCATTTTCGAAGTGAGTTTGCATTACGAGATTTGTATGAATAGTGTAATTTCGATATCACTAATAAATTTTACTATTATATATTGTAGTATATATTCTCATTATAAATTTTTTTTTATATATATTTAATTTTTTTTATTATTATTATTATTTTCTTATCTTTTAAATAAATTCGAATTTAGAAGTAAACAACTAAAATCTATTTTAAGACGAGCCATCTTGCTTGTCTCATTTCCCAAGAAACATGGGCACGCTTTATTACAAAGTTAAAACTAACCATAAACAAATATCTTTTACTCCACTTTCTCTCCTCCACTTTCGTAAGGGTGGTCACAAATCTCTCCTCCTTCTCAATCGGATCCTGAAAACCCTAGAAAGATGTCAACTTTCAATTGGGTTTTCAATTTGGTCCTCGTAATTTTGATTTCCGAGCTCCATTTGATCAGCTGCGGCGCGGGTTTATCGTCGTCGAAGAACTCGTCTTACGAGCAGCAGCAGCTCGACAGGGTTTCGAAGCTTCCAGGACAGAGCTTCAATGTCAGCTTCGCACACTATTCTGGGTACGCTACTGTTAATAAAGAATCTGGTAGAGCTCTCTTTTATTGGTTCTTTGAGGCTGAGGTGGACCCTTCTTCCAAACCCATCGTTCTCTGGCTCAATGGAGGTACTCTCTCTCTCTCTCTCTCTCTCTCTCTCTCTCTCTCTCTCTCTCTCTCTCTTGTGTGTGTGTGTGTGATTTATTGATGTTTCTTTCCTATTCTGTATTTTTCTTGATTATGGTTAGATTTTAGTAAGTAGCTAAACTTATTAGGCCTCGTTTGAGAATATTGATGGGATTGATAAGATTGATTGGAATAGATATTTCTTGTAATAATGATGGGATTAATGTGTGATCATGTAATATGCAATTATCTTATGTTTCGGATTTATGAATGAATATATAATTCTTGTAGTATTGAGGTTGGACTCAGTATCATTCATATGCTTGATTAAATTCCGTATCCGTTTTTAAGTAAAACCCCAAATATTTGATAAATCTTGATTATTTTGTCTATCGAGTCCTATCCTTATTCCCAAACGAGGCCTTAGTGGCTGTCCGTTTCAAAATCGGGTACTTGTTGAAAATGCGTGTCCAATTTGGGTTTTTTATTTGTTGTCTTGTTAAATTCTAATTCATAAGATGTGTTTTTACTTTTTACAAACTGTGATCAATTCGATTGAGCATCTTCATTTGTTTGCCGATTTTCTTTTTTTTTTTTAACTTTGTTTGTAATATGCAGGGCCCGGGTGTTCATCTGTTGCATTCGGACTTGCTGAGGAAATCGGACCATTCCATATCGAGAAAGACGGAAAGTCCATTTATTTGAACCCGTATTCTTGGAATAAAGGTAAAAAAAAAAACACGTGCTTTTATTCGCTTACTCCGATATACGAACGTTATTTCGAGAATGATAGAAGAATATTCCCTTTCTGCAGCTGCAAATATTCTGTTTTTGGACTCTCCGGCAGGAGTTGGTTTTTCGTATTCAAACACTTCGTCTGACCTATTCACCAATGGTGATAAACGAACTGGTAATTCTTTTTCCTATCTAATAACCCTTTTTTTTTCTTGATGATTTAATATTTATATTGAATTTAATTTACATGATTGCAGCCGCCGAAAACCTAGAATTTTTGCTGCAATGGTTCAAACGGTTTCCGCAGTACAAAGGAAACGACTTCTACATTACAGGAGAAAGCTATGCTGGTTCGTCGTTCGTAAAATGGAATTTCTTTTCTCTTCCAAATTATTATTATTATTATTTTATTTTACATAATTCAGTTCGTCAACAATTTTGCAGGGCATTACGTACCTCAACTAAGCCAAGCGATCATGAAACACAATCACAAAAACGGAGAAGAAATTATCAACCTCAAGGGTCTCATGGTAAATATATAACCCTTTCTTCCGCTCGATAAATTAAGAAACAATAATTATTACAGTAGAACCTAGATAAATTAATAACCTCGCTTAAATAATAGTTTTTTCTGATCCCGACTCGGTAAAAACCTACTAAATTATTATTTCGCTAAATTAATAAAATTTTGCTAGTCCCGACTGTATTAATTTATAGAGGTTTAACTGTATATGTTTTTGTTTTGTGCAATAACCGGAAAAATCACGTCTTAGGTTGGAAACGCGTTAATCGATGATTTTCACGACCACTTAGGAGTGTTCCAATTCATGTGGTCAGTTGGTATGATTTCCGATCAGACATTCAAGAAATTGAATATATTATGCGATTTCCAATCGTTCATACACGCAAACGAGCAGTGTGACAATGCTCTGGATCTTGCGTATGAAGAAGTCGGCGACATTGATATGTACAGCATCTTCACTCCTGCGTGCACAGCTAATTCCACTAGTCTAAGTCGTCTTTCGAGGAAAAAGAGTGTGAGTCTTTATTATTTATTTTTTTCGGATTAAAATATATTTTTCGGAAATTCTTATTTGGAATATTAAATAGGGTATATTTTTATATTTTGAAAATTTGTAGAAGGTTGGTCTTTTGAGACGAGCATACGATCCATGCACAGAGGAGCATTCGACTGTTTACTTCAATCTTCCGGAAGTTCAAAAGGCCCTTCATGTTCATACGAGAAACTCCTCGTTGAAATGGGAAACTTGCAGGTACAACTTTTATATGTTAAATTGAAGGGTAAATTACAACCACCCATGAGGTATGATCAAATTACGAAAAGCTCCCTCCTATTTGGGTGATTACAAGTGGAATCTTCTACATATGGAATATTATCACTTTTATACCCGTTTTATCCCATTCGAGCTCCACATTTTGAAGTATGTGTTTTTTGGCTTGTATATATCACAGAGATTGTGGTGCATCAGAAATTGCATTTTTATACAAAACGAGTACAAATTAGATCACATTCGACGGAATCTAGTTGATTATGTTGAATTTGACACCATAAGGGTGAAGGTATAAGAAGATTCATAGTTGAGAAGTAGATGTAATTATCCAAACATGAGGGTTTTTTTTGTAATTTGATCATTCCTCAGGGGTGGTTATAATTTACCCTAAATTGAATTATTTTATTTATTTATAAATATCGAATACTTTTATATACAAATTTACATTCTAAATGCAGTAACACAGTGAATGAGAATTGGCAAGATTCTCCTAAGTCAGTATTGAATGTCTACCGTGAGCTTATACACTCGGGACTTCGTGTCTGGATCTTCAGGTTTTTATTTTTCCCATCTCGATTTTTTATTTATTTAATATCAAATCATTTAAATTAATACTTGATTTTTTTTTTTTTTTTTTTTTTTTTTTTTTTGCGACAGTGGCGATACAGATGCTGTAATTCCAGTAACATCCACACGGTACAACATAGATGCTCTCAAACTTCCGACAGTTAGTCCGTGGCGGGCTTGGTACGATGATGGCCAGGTCAGCATTTCTTCTTACGACTCTCCTACGTATATGTAAAATCACCATTTCGCGTCTTTGTGCTTATAATAATTTTTTTCGTGTACGAAAAAATAAAGGTCGGAGGATGGACGCAAGAATATAAAGGGTTGACTTTTGTGACGGTGAGAGGAGCAGGTCATGAAGTTCCATTGCATAGACCGAAGCAAGCTTTGACCCTGGTCAAGTCGTTTTTATCGGGAATTTCAATGCCTAAACTCGAGCTAGTTAGTGATTCTTAGTTTTTCGTCCGAAGATTTGCTGGTTTATTAGGGCCAACGTTGATCTTCAATTCTCGATCACACGGTTTAAAGTTGTCGTACTTATGTTTTCACAATAACTGATTTGAATTCTCAGTTCTACATTTGCAGAAGATGGCAATAAAAAAATAATATTTATGGACTATATTCGCATTGATTCGAGTTTGTTCGTTAAAAACTCGTTTGAGATTTGTTTGTTGACTGTCAAGAATCAATCTTTTGGTTCTTTTAAAGCTCAAACGCAAATTTAAAAAGTTCTATAAAAATATTACAAGGAGATATCGAACTGCAGTTGGTTGTGGTGGCTGTAAGATCTTCTAGAACTTTCCACCGGACGAAGTTCGACCCGCCAAAAAAGAGAATATACCTCTCTGAGATCAGATTTCTGTACAATTCTCAAACTCATAATACCATCATGTAATAAACTTACTTCCTCTATTATCTCAGCCAACGATTTCACCTCTACAATCTCCGATTTCTCAATAAACCGATTCACTAGTCGAAGATTTCTTACAGTGGCTATTTCGTAATAACGCTTTGCTCTCCAACTCTTTTCCGTCTTTTTCCGGTGACGATTCACTACAATCATCAAAGCTTTGACTAGATTCCGAGACTACAAAAATGTCATGTACGTCTCTTTCACTAATTTCCATTCTTATTTTTGGTGTGAAATTTAGTGAAATCTTCTAGATTATGTGGAATATTCTCCAGTTCGTACCCGATTTACCCCGTTCGACCTCCACATTTTGAAACAAGAGATGGTTATAAAATGTGTCTCTTGGCTTGTAAATATCATATGTGTGGTGCATCAGAAACTGCATTTTTGCACAAAACGAGTACAAACTAGAGAACATTCCACGGAATCTAGAAGATTATGTTAAATTTGACACTATAAGTGTGGACGTGAAAAAAGATTCATAGTTGATGGGTTAATTTTGTAATTACTCAAACATTACGAGGGTTTTCGTAATTTGACTTTACCTCATGAGTCTGGCCGCAATTTACCTAATATGAAAAGACTAGAAAATATTTAATTCGTCATCATCTATATATATATATCTTATATATAAAAGAAAGAAACGTTGGACAATCCTAAAAACCCTAATGATATTTCTGTAATTATTTATTTTTAATATTTTTTCTCTACTAATTTCTAACTATAATTTTCAAAAAATTATCAAAATTAAAACTAAACTGTAAAGAATCCTACTCTAATGGTACATCTGTAATTACTTATTTTTAATATTTTTTTCTCTACTAATTTTTTAATTATAATTTTCAACAATTATTAATCTCCGATTTTTCATCAATATATCTCAAATATTAAGAGATAAAGATAGATATTGGATTTGTTAAATCTTAATATGTAACATTTATAATACTACATTATTATTTTTTTCTATGTTAGTGTAATATATTTTCTCATTATATATTAAATTGATTATTCTTTTTCACTTTTGAAATAATATCCCGTGCATCGAACGGGGAAAAAATGCTAGTATATAAAAAGACAATCCCTTGCCTCATCTTCTGACGCGTGGCAACTTAGGGTTTCTAACCCTAGGGCAAGTTTTATAATTTTTACTATTTTTTGGTGTAAAAATGAAAAAGCCCATATTTCATCTCCCCTAAATTTTATTGGCCGTTTTTTATCATTATCTCTAATTTTTCTCTAAATTTTTATCCCGTTAATTTCTCTTTCAATACCCACTCCCTCAACTGCAGAAACCGCCGATTGAAATCAGTTTTCTCAGTTTTCTCATCGATTTAATAACTTCTAATCTCCAATTTCATGTCTCATCTCTATATCAACACAAATTCTCACACAAATCTTTCAACAATTATTACTTCCCACAAAATTGAAGCTCTTACTTTCCACAAAATTGAAGCTCTAAAATCCGCCGGCCAAAAGTTCAACAAAAATCATCTGGGAGTCGGATTCAAGTACCCTTTGCTGCCAACGAGAGCCACTGCCAACCGTGGTTGAAATTTCAAGTAAGAAATTTTTATTCCACAATTTTTTATATAATCTGCATAAGAGCCAAAGTTAAGCAAAAACATAGGCATAAGATTGGACCCATTTATTTTAAATTATTAACAGTAATAATTGGGTACACGTGAATTATTACCCCCTCCTTGAATGTTTGGCCTAACAAAGAGCCTCCATCCATGCATTTTCTCTTTTCTGAAGCAATTTGTTTAATTTTTTTCAATTTTTATGGTTTTATGATTTAAGAGAAAGAGCCGTCAAAAGGTGAAGATGTTTTTTCGTTTTCTTTGGTCGACGTTTGTGCATTGGGCCTATATATATTATTTGAATTTATCTCCGAGTCCTACATTTTACAAATGTTCATTCATAAGTAGTTTAACAATTGCTAATTTTTACTTAAAAAAAAGAAAAAAAGCTAAATTAAAAATTGAGTGTGGCTAAATTAATCACATGATTAATTAGAAAAAGTTCAGTGTTGCACTTTGAAAAGTCAAGCCCCTTTGGGTGCATAAATTAAATTTTATGAACACCTAAGTACAAAATAGCACACGCATTAAATTAAATTTGACGAGTTATAAACTGATAGTTCCTAATTAATTAATTAATTCATTAATTAATAGGAGCAGGGGCTTATGCATGGCAAAACCAGCAATTCATTTGTACTGCACTTTGTTATATAATTGATGCCCTTTTTTTTCAAATTGTTCGAAGTTACCAAATTATAAAGTTGTTCCGTACTATATAAAAATATCTTATAAAAATAATATCAAATTTGAATGGAGCATGTACACTGATTTTCTATTCCATATATCATGTAGATATGGCGCCACAAGTAACATGTTTCAATGATATTACACCAGACCGCTTTAACTGGAAAGTGGTGGCTCGGGTCATTCAACTTTGGAAAGTTCCTAGCAAGATCGACCAAACTATTATTAATGGTATTGATATGATCTTAGTTGATGGGCAGGTCATTATTTATTTACAAAATTTATTTCTCTTATGGCTATTTAAATTCTGTTTATTGGCTTATTGATATTGTTGCATATATTTTTTCAGGGAGGAAAAATTCATGCGTCTATAAAAAAGACTCAAATGAACAATTTTTATAATATTGTAAAAGAAGGTAATACTTATGTCTCCCAGAATATTTTGGTAGTTCCGAACGATGGGAAGTACAGGGCTACTCGCAATGTTCACAAGATCATATTTATAAAAACTACTCGGGTAACTAATTACAAAGTCGAGAATATTCCAGGCGTCAATTATGACTTTACGAATTTTCGTGACATCATTAATGACGGGGATGACACATGGCTTAGTGGTAAAATATTTTTAAAATATTAAAATATGTGTTTTCTTAATTTATTATACAAACATTGCAATATTTTATACGCATATACTTTTTTTTATTTCCAGATGTTATTGGACATGTTATAGAAAGAGATGAAGTGAAAGATATTAACAAAAGTGGACACAGCCACCAGATACTAGAGATCACTCTTCAAGACTTATCGTGAGTATTTTTAGATTATATACAGTAAATTCAATTGATGTTGAATGGTTACGTATTTATGATCTTCTAATTTATTACATGTGGTTCTCAGAGAGAATCAAATAAAATGCACTCTATGGGACCAATACGCCGATCAAATGTCTTTGCATATTAGTAATCAAAACTCAGCTGACCCAATCATCATTATTCTGGAGATGTGTCTGGTCAAAAGTTTTAATGGTAATTCCTATCTTTAGTTACATTTAAATATTGCATTAAAGTTTCACTTCATTTTATTAATTCACATATTTATTTTATTTTGTAGGTCAGAATAGTATTTCTAATGCTTTCCACAACTCAAGATTGTTGATAAATGAAAACTCCGAGGAACATAGGGCGTACAGAGAAAAGCTAGTTCGTTTAAAACTACCATGTTTTAGTAATTCTTACTGAAGCATTTTATAATGTACAATGCAATTTATTCTTCACTATTTGTACGTATATACAGACTCATTAGGCAAGATGGCACATTTACACAATCAATCAGCGTGTCATCAAATCATCGATCGACGGGGATTGCAGATGATTTGTTGCTAACGAAGCAAATGACGATAAATAATTTGAGAGATTGCACTACTGTAAGTAAATTATTTCTCCTCGACTTATTTTACAAATTTGACAAAACTAATTGTAAATTATATTTTTAGGAACGCGCTGTTGTTGTACTTGCCAAGGTAATTGATATCGATCCAGATACCAAATGGTGGTATGATGCCTGTCCTAAATGTTTCAGAAAGGTAGAGCAAACAAGTACACAATTTTGTTGCCCAAAATGTCCTAAGGATATTGATCCAATCCCACGGTAATTTTAATAAATGAACTGATTTTTTTTTTTTTACGTATTTATTATAGCATTATTATTATAATTTATTTTATATATATTATTTATAGAAAAACTCAGTTTGTCAGCACTTGAACAATTTAAAATAGATGCAAGTATTACTCTTAGTAGCAAAAAGTCTTCCATAATTCATTATTTTTTTCCAAATTATCGGAAGAAAGTAATTAAAATATTTTCTATAATTCATTATTTTTTTCCAAAATGGGCTAAGGATGTTGATCCAATGCCACGGTAATTTAATCTTCCATAATTGGAGTTGCCCTATAACTATAAGTATGGTGTTTCACAAGTTCATACATACAGGTATAGGCTTCAAGTACTGGTATTTGATACTATTGGATCCACTAAGTTTGTCATGTTTGATAAATTCGTTTGCAAAATCGTGGGCAAATCAGCAACCGAACTTATTGGTGACGTGCATAAGGTAATATAAAAACCACTTTCATATGGAATGCTGAATTACTTCTATTTATATTTAATTTTCAAAAAATCCTTGATCATTGCTTTTTGGTAGGATAATTTGACCGATACAATTCCTAAAGAATTTGATGCCATCATCAACAAAGAATTTATGTTCAAGGTCGAAATCAGTGCGATGAACATATCAAAAAGTTGGTCAGTTTATACTGTAAAAACAATGACGGGTGATCACGAACTTATTCGACAGTTTCGTGTTATGCATTCTATCGAGGTATAAGGCCACAAATATAGTTTATATGTTGCATCATAAAATTATATTAATTTTTGTTAACTACAAGAATTTGTTGATGAGGATGAACACTCATCCGACAACAATGCTCAACAGCAAGGCGACAATTTGGATGTAAGAGTTGTTTATAACACAACTATTATTTTCATTTATACACAAGTTAATGAAATCTACCTTCCTCCAATAATATTTGTAGGATTTTGTCGAACCCGATGATGAGACGACTCCAATCAGTAAATTACGTGGTAAAGAACTTGGTAACAACAACTTAAATGTAAGAAATATTTATAACACAACAATTATTCTATCATTTACACATATCAATAACATATACCCTTTTTTAATAAATTTTGTAGGATTTCACCGATTCTCATGATAAAGCGACACCAATCATTAAATTGCGTGGTAAAGGACTTGGTGTAGAAGCTGCGTCTTCTAATTTATCCAATGATGAAACTACAAAAATGTCAACTACCAAGTCATATAAGAGGATCAAAACAGAGAAACCATGACATAATAGTCTACCACATTATTGTATTGTTGGCGGCAATACAATAACATTAACTATTGTGGTGTTTTCTTTTTTAGAACACCTTTCTCTCGGTGTATGTTTCAAGATTTTTATTTATCTGGTCGCTATGTTAATTTTAATTATGTTGTTTTTCTAGATTTTCAGTTTTCAGTTGCAACTTTTTTAAGACTTGCAGTAGGTGGTTGCTATATACTTTGCACTATAAATTTCTAATATCATTGAAAAATGTTCATCGTATTTGTTTTAACGATCACTACTAACATTCACTCCATATATATATTCACAATAACAAAAACCATAATTTTTTTCTAAATTTGTTAGAATTATTTTTTCTCTATGTATTCAATTATCTGTTACAATATGACAAAACAATTATCACAATATTCACCGTGCATCGCACGGGTGTATTACTAGTTAAACATTAAATCCATAATAAAATATTAACTGGTCATCATTAAATATTAATTAATGAATTAATTAACGAGGCCTTTATTTAAGAAGTGGGTTATATAGGTCGAGTCCAAGTCAGCAAGCCCAAACCCATCTTACCTGACAGAGGGACCTTTGCTCCGATTTACTTCCGACAATCAACCAACTTAACGGTAAGCAATGGCGCTCCAAGTTCGTTAAATTCCTTCTTTTTTGTACTGTAACTCTTGCCGTACTGTGGAAATTGGGCGTGAGAAGTTTTCTCAACTTAAATAGGCATCTCAATTTCCTTGATTTTCTCTTTGTACTCTGCCACATCACGTGTTCGACGAAATGCCCCACTGAGCAGACTTCCTGTAGTTTTGAATTCTCGAATGCTTATGCTTGTTTTCCCGTACGTGTTCAGGTGATTTAAAATGGATGTGGGCCATTGCATCTTAGATGGAAACACCGATGCAGTTGAGTTTTGTCCTCATGATTCGTTCCATAACGTGCTTGCTGCCTCCACTTACGTGCTTCAAGAGGGCGATCCTCCCAGTCGATCCGGTTGCATAACCCTATTCGACGTCGACGCTGAAAATGGTCGGCTCGAGTTGGTTCAGAAAGTGGAAACAGGTGGCATTTTCGATATTAAGTGGGCCCCGGTGCTCTCGGAGAATCCAGCCGGCCCGCCTTTGCTTGCTCAAGCTGATGCTGATGGTTGTGTTAAGGTTTATAGCCTGCAAACTTCTGATTCAGATGGTTCGAGAATACGCAGTGAGTTTTTCTTTTTTCCTGTTTCGTTTTTACTAATCTGTATAGAATCGTCTCGAGCTGTCGGATGAAATGTGTTTCAACTTTCAATTGGTGCTTGATTATAGGCTTTCTTGATACTGTTCGTATACAAATTAAAACTTTTTTCAGTCCCAAATTATAGTCTTAGAAACAAGAAATGATTAGTTAACTGTGCTTCATATTTTCAATCTGAATACTTTGAAATTGTGGAAATCGGTGTTGTTTGTAATAATATACACTCGAAGTTTTTTGTGTCCATTGTAGCTGGATCTAACCCAATTATCAGCGACCGTGAAACTGTAGTAGTGTTATTTGATTGAAAGCGTCGAATCTATGAATGATCATCGACTTGTCCTTTATGTCGTAAGGTTTTAAGTTAACGGCTGAGAGCAGTTACCGAATTGCATCTGATTTTAATTGGAAGAAATAAAGTTTTCATCCCTCAACTTTGCATCGATTTCACATTTGGTCCCTCATGTTCACAAAACACACATTTGGTCCCTTATGTTTCAAAAATTTTAGTCTTTTCCGTCAATATCCCGTTAAAACTAACAGAATCAGGCGTGTGCCCATCACTGCCTTGACTAACGGACTAACGGTAAATTGACGGAAATGACCTAAAATGTTAAATTATTTGAACATGACGGACCAAATGTGTTTTTTGTGAACATGGAGGACCAAATGTGTAATCGGTGCAAACTTGAGGGATTAAAACTGTAAATTTTCCCGATTTTAATTGATATATTAATTTAAACAGTTGTACCTCCAGTTGCATAGTAATGACACGCAGTCGAAAATTTGTCGTGTTTCTTACGATCATTTCTCATATGCGAAACTGTACGAGTAACGATATTATTCCTTATGCTTGATACAGATAATACCCTAAAAGAAGTTTCCGGAAAATGCATCAGTTCTTCGATGTGCTTGTGCATCGACTGGAATCAATCCGCCACATCAATGGCGGTGGGCCATTCAAACGGATCGATCTCCATAGTCTCACTTAACGAATCCGAAATAAATCTACTCCAAGAATTTCATGCCCACGATTTCGAGGTTTGGGCAGCTTCATTCGATATCCAACAGCCAAAACTCGTCTACACGGGCTCAGACGACTGCAAATTCACCGGCTGGGATTTACGAGACAACCCCTCGAACTTAGTTTTCCAAAACAAAAAAACCCACAAAATGGGAATTTGCTGCATTGCAAAAAGCCCGTTCGATCAAAACACTCTGCTCACCGGCAGTTACGAAGAGTGCTTGAGAATATGGGATGTGAGAAACATTTCGATGCCTGTGTGTGAGTCTTCGATAAGTCTTGGTGGAGGTGTTTGGAGAATTAAGCACCATCCGATTAAATCGGGATTGGTTTTGAGTGCATGTATGCATAATGGATTTGCTGTTGTTAAATTCGAAGGGGGTGAAATTCGAGTGGTGGAAAGGTATAATAAACATGGCTCGCTTGCTTACGGAGCCGATTGGCAAAGAGGGGAGAGTCGAGCCGTTGCTACTTGCTCGTTTTATGATCGGCTTGTTCGTGTGTGGAAACCCAAAGGTGATATATTTTTATGATAGTCGATTTTTTTTGTTTAATTATTTTTTTGGGAAAAATAATGTTTTTTTTTTTTTTTTTACAACTTTCTTGAATGTTATGAACACATTTCTCAGTGATTGTGGCTGCCTTTTTTATTTTTATTTTTCCATACACACTTTATTGAATTTATCAAGCATTTTTATCCTATATCTACACATCCATGACGGTATTACTGTACGGTTTTATAAATGCTACACTTGGTAAAATACATCGGGTGATTTTACACTATAGAATGACACATAATAATACATATTTATATGTATGTGTGGCTAGTGGATGCTATTTTATAAATTAATGGTGCAAAATCACCGACGTGTGTAACATCTCTTAAACTATTGAGTTTTTGGGAAAAAAAATTGAATACCAATTATAAATGGGGCGTGCTAAATCGCACACTAAAATTTACTAAATCCCACACATAAATTTAAAAAAAAAATCTCTCTCTACTCGTATTCTTCCTAACTTCTCTCTAAGATAATTTTATCAAAGTCACCCAAAATTCATTATTTTTACGTGAATAATCATAAAAAATGAGTTCAATTTTATTTAATATTTATTCACTTTCATTAAGCCTTTTTCATTATTCAAATTCATATTAGTTCGATTTTTTTTTTATCAAATTCCAACTTTATTTTAGTTTGGACACGTGAAGATTTTTCTCAAATTCGAACTTGAAATGCTAGGGACGTTTTTAGTGTGTGATTTGTGAAAAAAGTTAGGGAAAAAAGAAGAAGGTAGAGAAGGAGAAGAAAAGTTTTTAGAGAGATAAATATTTTTAATTGTTTGCAAGATTTGGTAAAATTAGTGTGGGATTTAGCATTTCATTTATAAAATATAGTAATTATTTAGTCCCGGGCTAGTGGTGTCATATTTTATTTTAGGGGCGTGCTAAATCCCACATTAAAATTTACTAAATCCCACACATAAATTAAAAAAAAAAAAAAAATCTTCTCTCTACTCATATTCTCTCTAAAATAATTTTATCTAAGTCACTCAAAATTCATTAATTTTTTACGTGAATAATCCTAAAAAACGAGTCCCGTTTTATTTAATATTTATTCAAATTCATTAAGTTTTTTTAATTATTCAAATTCATATCGATTCGGATTTTTTCCTCAAAATCCAACTTTATTTTAGTTTGAACATGTAAATATTTTTGTCAAATTCAAACTTCGAATGCTAGCTAGGGACGTTATTAGTGTGTGATTTTGTGAAAAAATTAGGGAAAAAGAAGAAGTGTGGGGAAGTAGAAGAAAAGATTTTAAAGAGATAAATATTTTTTTGTTATGTGCATGATTTAATAAAATTAGTGTGGGATTTAGCATTTCAGTTTATTTTATTTCTTATAACTTTTGTATTCTATTATACGTCATATGATAGTAATTAAAAAAAATATAGTCTAATTTTAAAATAATAATAATAAAATAAATGGCAAATTAGGGTCACCCCTAAATATGGTCAAATTACAAAAAACCCTTCATGTTTGGGTAATTACAGTCACCCCTCAACTTTGTATTAACTTACGAAAAAACCCATTCAGAGGTAAATTTAGGGATGTGAAATTGCTAAAAACGAACCGAAATTTCGGTACGTCAACATTTCATAACATTTACCGGACTAAATATACGATTGATTCAGTAAATCCTAATTACATGAGTTTTATATAAAAATATTTAAAATGAGGGGTAGCTATAATTATTCAAACAATAGGATTTTTTTAGTAATTTGGTCGTACGCCGTAATTTGCTCTAAAATAAATAAATATGACAATGACACAAAATATATTGTGAGAAAAAAAAAATAATAATAATAATAATAATATTTACAAGTCCATTATATTTCACCGTTTTCATTTAATTATGGGTTTATAAACACAGTTTCATTTCAACTGAGGATCACAAAATTTCACTTTCCTTCTTCACCAAATTTTACCCCGTCGGAGTAATACTTCAATCTTCAGTATGTCGCAGCCATCGCCGCTTCCGAAGAGCTCCGATGATCAAACTGTATGAATTTCCTTTTCGCAAAATTCGATTAATCTTGTACTTTTATTTTTCTCGGAATTCCCAATTTTGCGTTACATTCACTTGGGGTTGGTTCTCAAAATCGATCGATTACTATGAAATCTTCGTCTAATGTTCACTTTGAGTCAGCTGTGTTTGTTGCTTACTTTTCCATGGTAATTTAAACAAGGAGATTTCACGGCACTGGATAATGTGGGCCAATTTGGAATTGATTTTGAAATTTAGGTATTCCTGTGGGAACTTTTTTTTTGTTTATTTATTTATTCAGTGGGCAAATAACTTCAGCAATTTTATTTTCCAGTGGAGTTGAATTTGTTCAAGATTTTATGTATTACTAGCTAACAAATTTAATCATGAGGTTATGGGTGTTAGAAATTAGAATATTGTTCACTTGTTAAGCCATTATTCGGAGTTTTTCTCAACTTTTTAGACTGAATTGTACATTAATGCCTCATTTGGTTGTGGAGATTAGCCATGATTTACTAATAATGGACTTTGTTTGATGTTTGGTATCCCCAATAACTTGTTTGGTCGACCCGTAAATATTATGTTATCATGCATTATCTTGCCTTTTAGGCATGGTTTTTATTGGACTTTCCAAGGTACAAATGGATTTCATTAGATTATTTAATCTTATCTTGGCAACCAAACGGGGCCTAATTATAAAGTTGATTATGTTCGGGGGATTATAATTGCTCTTATTCAGTAGTGGGTATTTTTCTTTCTGCGGCTATTGATCTGTTTCGTTAAATTTACGTCTGCTCCATATGGATATAACTACAATGTTTTTTGTCTAATTGTTGGAACGGCAGTAATTAAATCGAAATTGTTCGTTTTATGTCATGAAGATAAATAATAGTTTTGTAGTTTCTGAATGGAGGACTATCGATTTCCGACTGCTAAAAAAGGTTTTAGATTGTGAAAGTGGAGAATATAATGATAATCTCTCTGCTTGCACATGTATTATAAAGTAATATTTCTCGAAATTCCGCGGTGTCTTAATTTATGAGAAATATTTGTGTTATTTTTTACAAAAGTTCTTACAAGTATGTTTTAAAAACTTATTGCGTATACTTATGTTTCAATCAGTTTACTGCAGCCAATGAGAAAAAGCTACTTGTATGCGTAGTTTCATTAAATTCATTGTGCAGGTGATGTATATTCGTGTAAAACGGAACAAGACAACTTACTTTCTGCAATGTCTGCCGAGCGAGACAGTTCTACAAATTAAGGAGAAGTTGGAAGAACTCCTTGATCAACCAGTCAATGATCAACGTTTGACTTTATTGCCGAATCGGGAAATATTAGACGACTCAAAATCACTGGCTGATCAGAAGGTTTATCAAATAACTTCAAATGGCGCTTGTTGTTTTGATTTCAGAATGCTCGTTTTTTTTTAAAACATAATTCGACTTCAATCTAACATTAAATTATTGTGCTCTATCTTTTTCAGGTTGAGAATGATGCTGTTGTTGCCCTAACTCTGAGAAAAGGTTCTCTTACATTCTATTCATATATATATATATATATATATATATATATATATATATATATATATATATATATATATAGACACACTTTAATATACGACCGACTTCCTTTCTGGCTGGCAGAATATCTTCTATTTTTCAACTTTATCTTTCTCCGTTAACACCATAACTCGATACAGTCTTCTTTAAGTGGAGTATACAGAATATCTTTGATGTTTTCATATAGACGAGGGTTGAATCGAACCTTTTTTTAGTCTGAAATGATTACTCAAAGATGCTGCAAGTTTTTTTCGTTTTCAAGAAATTATCGTATTGCATATTCCAAATCAAGACTTGGTAATCTAGTATTGGTTTTGTTGGAATCTAAAAATAAGAATATTGAAACCTACTGTGGATTATTTCGACTGAAGACTTTGTAAATACCGTGTTTTTTTGACTTTGCTCGTATTCGGTAGTAGCTCTGATACGGAACTGTTTACTTTCATTTTCAGATGACAGCGAATTTGAAGAGGTGAACATTGTGAGAGCGAATGATTTTTACCAATCCCGGGAGACAGATGCCGGTTTCTGATTGGTTGTTGGATTGCTTTATGGTCACTGGATTTTTCGATTCTAGAGCAGCTTTTCGTGTCTTGATGGAGTTTTCTTGTCTTGAGACGTTCGAATGATATTATAGCCTTTCGTATAATTGTGAGGCCATAAAATATATTGAAATTCTTGGTCGATAGAATCATGGGAAACTTTTAATCTCCTATTATTAAGAGAAAAGAAGCTGCAATTGTCTGAATTAAATTCCAATATCTTATATATATATATGACCCCATAAAAAAGGGCAAAGTTCGCTTTACACCCTTGAAATTATAGGAAGTGTCGCAAACACACCCCTTAATTACGAAATGTCCTAAATACCCCATATTTTTTCCCTTAATTACGAAATGTCCTAAATACCCCATAATTCAGCCGTGCAAAGTGAAATTTGCCCAAAATGAAATATACGTTGAGGATTTATATTAATTTATTTTGTCATTTTATTTTGGCAAGTAACTGCCTATCATTTGGCCTTTGGTCCTCCACTCATCAATATTCATCTTCAAAATTTCAAAAAGAAAAATTAGAAGTGAATTATACACTTACAAAATATGACTATATAAATTTGAAATAAATATTTATGATACATTTGTAATTATGAGCTGTGTATTAATTAGTATCTTTAGAAAAAGAATGAGCCTAATCATAATTTTATTATAATTCTTTAATTATTAGGTGGTTACATAAAATGATAGAATCATGTGCAGTAGCTTTAAAAAAATCACAATAAAAAAATAAATAAAAATCGGCGAGTAGGGACAATATGGTCCAACACATGACATGCGTTTTCTCTTATGTCATAATTCATAATAACATGGGCTGCAACTTACATAATAATATAATGATAATCCATGGTTTTTTATACATATTATATATATAAATAAGAAGGTCAAATGAAAAATTGACCTTGATTACTAATTAAAAATTGATTAGTACTACTAATGAATTTCTTGCTTTACACATTAATTATATATATTTCTTCATTAGTGATTCATTGTATTGAACCAAAAATAAAACAAGAGATGGCCCCCAATTTGAACAACATCGTAGTGAACAATACTTGTCAGCAGACAAACCCATGTACAAAAAGGCAAGTCAAATAACTGTCGTGATTGTTATATTTCTTATTGACCAAAATAATAAAACATTATTTATTGGATTTATATATATATATATATATATATATATATATATATATATATATATATATATATATATATATATATATGACAAACTTTTACAAAATGTGGTCTTAAATCTTAGTTGTGCAAATGAATTTGTGTCAATTGACTCATGTTCAAATCCCTACTGTCAACGGCCGCTAAATGTGTTGTTTACGTTTCTCATATGATCTGCAAGCTATTGTACGAGAGAGTGATCGATTTATTTTTCTTATTATATGATGGTGGGGCAATTGAATTCAAGGTGAATAATTTATTGGCATGATAAATTCAGGATTGAATGTATTTTAGAGCTATGTCAAAAAGTGAAAAAGAGTAGTGCAAGTCAAATAATCAAATCTTGTTGAGAGAAATACTTTGATTTATTTATGTTCTCATTGATTCACTAGTATAGTAGTTCCACATAATTTTTACTATGTTATTTAATATTTATAGTGGTGGACACAATTAAATGGATAATAAATAATTGTTTGGTGAACATAATTAAATGGAAATTTAATAATTGTATGAGGCTCGATAGGTTTATACCATGCTATATCGGTAGATTTTCACTATTGAAATACATAAATACACACACAAATCTGTATTGGTGTGTAAATTAATGGTAAAAATTCATCCAGTATAACTTTCATACAATGTCGCATAATAAGGGCATCTCCGACCGGACACCATAGCACCATTTTTTCATCTAATTTAGGTGTTTTTAGCCTCCCACATGAAATTCCTATATCACCATTACACCTAAAATTATAGAGATTTGATTTTAGCCTCCCACCGTGGTCAACCCCCATATCACCAAATACTCAAATTCTATTTTTCCACCAAATTTTTTAGTGAAGGAATTTTCATCTCCCACCGGTCCACCATTTTCCTATTTTTTCCACCAAATCCTATTTTTCCCACCAAATATAGAGGTGAAAATAGGATTTGGCATAATTAACACCATTTTATTAAGTACCATATAAAATGACGATTTTAACTAATTGCACCCGATTACCAACTTATTAGCATATTTATCGTAAATATATTGGTATTAATTATTAAATTAATTTTTAAAATATAAATACATTTGTTATTATTAACAAAACACTATTTTTAATACTATAAATATGCTTATTTTTAATTAATTTGTATATTTTGTTGGTATCAATGTTTATTAGTTCATTTCTTTACTTAACTAATACGCTAATTGTTATTAATAAAATATAATAAGCAACAATAGAAAGATTAACGAAACACACTTCAATTAATGAAATACAAACATAAAAAAAATGGTGAGACCGGTCGGAGATGCTCTAACCAGCTTGATAGATATAAATTATAGTTATGAATTTGAAGGGTATTCAAAATTTAAAGGATTTTATCAATGGGGGTGAAAATCAAACTAAGACATGATATTCAATTCGAGGTTGTTTTTTACAAACTAGTTTGAGATCAATTTGTTGACATATATTTAATCAAACGTGAAAACAGTTTCGCTTGATAAGCTATGAATTCCAGCTTGAGTTGATTCTTGAGCCCGATTAAATATAATAATAAAAGTGCAAAAAAATCAAGTTACTCGAGCTCCATCATGTGTTAAGCTTAGTCAAATCTTGTCCAAGCTCAATTCAATAAACAAAATATTAATTTACTTAATCAAAACAAATTCAAATACAACTTTGAAATTTCGATAAAAAAAAAAAAAAAATAAGACAAACTTTAATAAATATAAGTTGAGCTCAATTAGATTTATATTTATTTACACCCTTATCTGTGACCCATGAATAGTGTCTTTGTGGGCCTAGGATAATGGGCCCTATGTCATGGTCCACCTGTCACTAAGGTTTAATGCACCTATTCAAGCATGTAAGACAAATACAAAATAATATCTATATATGTTCTTCAAAATTATACGAAAACTATTATTATTTATTATAATTCAAATTGGATGGCTGAAAAAACACGAATAAAAGAAAAATAGACTTTGGAAAATTCAGTCCCTTAATTGAATGGACAAATTCATAATTCGACACAATTAATTTGTTTGTGACATAAAATTAAAAGTGGTCCTTTTATATCTTCTTTGCTTTGGTCCTATGGAAAAGCACTCGACAAAATGATTATTATGAACAATCATTTTCAATACCTCTCCAAAACCCAACTATCTATATATAATATCTTTATTTATTTAATAATATATAAAATATATTCTACAATTAAGATAAATCAAATCTAATTTTATATAAATATTATCGCTATTAAGAAATTTGAAGACAAAGGCCTTTTCGTTGAATTCAAGTTTGATCCAAATAACAATTTGGATTTGATTTATTAAAGTCAAATCTTAATTGGTTGATCCAGTTTAAGATGGACTCGGTTTAATATAATTTGAGTCTATTTACTATATAATATATAAATATCATAATGTTTTTTTTAATAATTATAATTATGTTTAACAAAATTGTAGTTATCTTTTAAGATGTTTTCGACTTTCGTAAGTAATGAAAATAAATAGGGTAAATTACAACTGACCCCTGAGGTATGGTAAAATTACGATACTCCCCTCCTGTTTGGGTAATAACAACAACCTCTCTCAACTATAAATTTTCTTACGCATCCACCCTTGCAGTTTCATACATAGTGGGATCTTCTTGATTATATGAAATATTATTACTTTTGGACCCGTTTTATCCCATTCGAGCGTCCATATTTTGAAACAAGATGATCATAAGATGTGTTTTTTTACTTGTATAGTCAGATTTTGGTGCATCAGAAACTGTATTTTTACACAAAACGAGTACAAACTAGAGCACATTCCACGGAATCTAGATGATTATGTTGAATTTGACACCATAAGGATGGATGTGTAAGAAGATTCATAGTTGAGGGGTAGACATAAACATCCAAAGAAGAAGACATTTTTCGTAATTTGACCATACCTCAGGGGTGAATGTAATTATCCTAAATAAATAAGGGGAATATTAAATAAAAAGTTATAATAGAGAAAAATAAATAAATGATGCAATAATCAATAATTCATTAAATAAATAATTAGGGGGCGCTAAAAATTAAAATAATCGCCTCCGCCGTCTCTATATTTGCATCTCTCTCTGTTTCCCCTAAACCAGAACTTTCCATTTATTATTTTATTTCCTTTTTTCGCTTTATTTATTTATAATTTATCCCTAAATACATTTCCTATATATATATATATATATATATATATATATATATATATATATATATATATATATATATATATATAGTATATTTTACTGAATCACGGCTAAAGAAGCCGATCGAGATTCCAGAAAAATACGGCAGTTGCTTTTCGCCGGAAAAGGAGTAGAGGTAAATAATCTGTTTATACTTTGTTTATTAGTTTTTTTGTTCTGTCAAAGCAATTTTGTGAAAATTATTCATTTTTTTAGATGGATTAAATCATTTAATTTTCGATTTTTCTTTGTTCTGTTACAGTTTGCAGTCAATTTCCGAAAGTAATTTTTTTTTTCCGGTGATCGGATAATTCTTAGGGTTTCGAACAGTAAAATATGCAGGGATTTTTCCGTATGTATAGTATAATTACCTTTTGTTGCTGTTTCCGATGGAAATTTATGCTGATATTTATGTAAATAAATATATTATTTTTTAATTTCTTCCTCAATTTTAATTTTTTATGAGAAAATATTAAGGAGAAATCTACAAATGTTGGGAAATTCAGGAACAAATCCTGACAAAGCGCAGACCATTATTACGTGCATTTATTCATGTAAAAACGAAATTCCTCGATGTTTTAATCTTCAGTATATTCTACAGAAGAAATTAACGATTTGCATCGAAAGCCAGAGTTTTTTTATTTTTTTTAATTTTTTGCATAATTACTGCATCTAATGATGCTTAATTAAGGTTTAATCAATGACAAATGGCGGTTAAAATAAGTAATTTAGGGTACAGTGAATTCATGGGGATGGACAATGATCTCTCTCCCTGCACGTGGTCTCCATGTATGTGTTCCCATATCCCTATTATAATTATTGTGAATTGTGTCCCTTTTTATGGAAATATATATTTTATAGCCTTTTTTCTGCAGAAAACAAATTCTTAATTTATTGTTTCTCGAATATTATTTTACCTTTTCTACCTTGTTTTGTTTAATTATCAATAGAGTAAGAGTGGAGAAGCTAATTCACTGTGCTTTGTGTGATCATCGCTTTGATATTTTCTGCATTTGTATCTACTCTAGAGAGAGAGAGAGAGAGAGAGAAGCTGGTGAAGAGATCATTATTCAGATATTTTTCTTTCATGAAAAGAGTTGCGTGGGGTTGTTAATGTGAGTTTTGCTTACCCTGTTTGTGTGTGTGTGTGTGTGTGTGTGTGTGTGTGTTTTGATACTGTCATATGCAGTTCCAGCCCAACCAAACCATGGCAAACCCGTGACAGGACAAAAGGTTTGTGGACCAGAAAGAAAAAGAGAAGGAGAAATAATATATAAATTGAAAAAGTAAAAGCAATAGAAGAAAAAAATTCTTATCCAACACCCCCTCCTACCCACTTCTCTCTCTACTCTCTTCCCCATTTATGAGGGAACTCCCAAATCAAAAATCAAAAATCAAAATCCTCTGATTCCATAGACTCCAACCTTAATTTTACTGTTCTTCTTGATTTGTTTAAGTGTCTTTTTTTACTGTTTGCCTTCTAGATGTGTGCGATCTGTCCAAATTTGGACTGTGTTGTGTGATGATGATGATTAAGGCAGGCCCATTTGTGATTTGTTGGGTGGAATAATCAAATTGGGTCTCTTTTGAGATCTGGGTGTCTGTAAAGATGTATTCTTTCGAGCATCATCTTTTTCTTTTTCTTTTTCATCATGCCTTGTTCTCTTCTTTTCTCTGTTTACCTATCTGTGGTATCTCACTTTTTGCCGCGAATTTCTTTGGCAGATTTTTCAAGATTGGAAAGGATCTCCTTTCACAAACATTAGTCTGATTAAGTCGATTGATTAATCGGGTTGTTTAGCGGTTTCAAAAGCTATGTTTTAAGGTTGTTATTAGTATATGTGAAAAGGGGGTGGACAATCAATGTGGTCTAATTTGCACAGTTTGGATGGATGTATGTGAATCAGAGCGAGTATTACTACAGAAGCAATCTACAGCAGATGCAAGAAGACAACCACTGGTTCCAGCCGAGAATAAGAATGGTGCTGCACCTCGTCAAGCTCAAAGAAGAGAAGTTAGTTCAAGATATAGATCACCTACACCATCTACCGCCACCTGTCCGAAACGATGCCCTTCGCCAAATGCCAGAAAGATCTCACCAAACCCGACTGCATCGGCACCAAAAAGGGCTATTTCAGCCGAAAGAAAACGACCCTCTACACCATCTTCACCCCCATCTCCATCGACACCAGTTCAAGATACAGCCGCAGAGACGCTGATGTCATCAAGAAAGTTAGCAGTGAATAAATTACCAGAGTCGTTATGGCCCTCCACAATGCGTAGTCTCACTGTCTCTTTCCAATCCGATACCTATTCCGTACCGATTAGTAAGAGAGAGAAACCTGCACCTTCCGATCGCACTTTGAGACCATCGTCGAATGTTACTCACAAACAGGCTGAGGTACCTGCTCAGAGAAAGCCCACACCAGAAAGAAAGAGGAGTCCACTTAAAGGAAAGAATTCTGTTGACCAATCGGAGAATTCTAAACCTGTTGATAGTTTAAACCCTCGTGTAGTGGATCAGCATCGATGGCCAAGCAGAGCAAATGGGAAATTGCCCACTTCTCTGAATCGAAGCGTCGATTTGTCTGATAAAACGGGCAAGTTTACGTCTTTATCCCGTCCTGTGAGGAGATTATCTCTTGATGGGGCGAGTAAACCCTTGGTCAAATCGAGCAGTGATTTGTTAATGCAAATATCACGTTCAATTGATGATAGTTCGCTGCAAATGCAAAGACCTGGTTCGTCGAGTTCGTCAGATAGGACGAAATTGGCAAATGCTGCAGCTAGAGCTTTGTTGAGTCCAGCTACTGTGGTTCGACCTTCGTCACCTTCTAGAGGGGTAAGTCCGTCTCGAATAAAGGCAGTCAACCCTCCGTCTAGAGGGCCGAGTCCTTCTCGGGTAAGACCGTCCAGCCCGTCCAGACAACCTCAGACTTCGACCTCTGTTCTTTCTTTTATTGCGGATATTAAGAAAGGAAAGAAGGCTGCAAATCACATAGAAGATGTGCATCAATTGAGGCTGTTGTACAATAGACACTTGCAATGGCGATATGCGAATGCGCGAACTAGTGCTGTGTTGCAATCTCAGAAAGTGAAAGCAGAGGTCTGTACTTATCTTGTTAGCTAGTTTTTGACTTGATAAAATATGTTTGCTTCTCAATTAGTATTGTTCTAGCCCCTAATTTGATTATGATGGTGCAGAAAATGTTGTACATAGTTTGGATGACAATTTCTGATCTTTTGGACTCGATAATGGAGAGAAGGATTGAGCTCCAGCAGCTGAGGCTCAAGTCGAAGCTCTACTCAGTTTTGAACAATCAAGTAAGTAATGCCTCTTTAATTCTGCCTATAATTATGCTGGGGAAGAATTATCATGTTTCGCTTCTGCCAAATCTCTTACAAGATTGTTTTTTCATCCATTTTTTCGTGCTTAGTAGGTCAAAAATTGATTAGTTTCTAGATATCTCTAAGCAGAGATTTATGTGTAAAGAAATGTATTCTCCTTATCTTGATGTATGTTGATGGATGAGATGTGTCTCTTGGTTGGTACTTTCAGTCAATCTCTTGTACATGAATATATTTTTTAGTATCTTCACTTTATTGTACATTATTAAAAGGAGTCTTACATTTTCTAATCCAATTAAAACGTGACAGTTAACTTGTCTCGACGATTGGGCTTCAGTTGAAAGGGATCATTTGAACTCATTAACATCAGCCATTCAAGATCTTCAGGCTAGCACAATTCGCATTCCAATCACAGGAGGAGCAAGGGTATGCCACGTTATTTTTTTTTTTGCTCAATTTTATTATTAATAAAAAGAAAAGGAGATATAAATTACGTAATTTTAATATTTCCAGGGAGATATTGAAACTGTTAAGGCGGCTGTATGCTCTGCCGTTGATGTGATGCAGGCAATGGGATCCTCTTTATGTTCCACACTTTCAAGGGTAAAGATAACTACTCCTGCTTTTATATTTATCTATAATTCCCTAAATTAATTTTCTTACGATCCAAGTGCTTACAGCAAAAAAAGTCTCGAATTTCATATTGTTATACATCTAAGCAGATGTAGTCGATGTAGCTTGTTGTCTAGAATATTTTCTTTACTAATGGTAGTTTCTGAATGTATTGTCTGATATATTTTCAGATACTTACTTCCTCCTCTTGTGATTTACAATTATCCGTTTGGGTGGAAAATTTAATTTTTAATTAGCTTACAATTATTTCACATTCTTGATCACGAATTTTGAGATTTGTATTGTATGATACAGATGGAGGGAATGAACTGCTTGGTGTCTGAACTTGCTAATATAGCAGCACAAGAAAGAGCCGTGCTCGATGAATGTGAGTTAGTTTTGGGCTCCACAGCTGCGTTACAGGTGAGGATAAAAAAAACATAACTTAAGGGCGTTCTTGTAATAATTGTCCATCCTGTCTGTCTCGTTATAAAAAAAATATAACTTAAGAGAATGATTTCAGGACAAATAAGATCTTGAGATTTTATGGCTTCATCGGTTATTGCTCGCATTTACATTTCTGTTAAATGACAATTGTTCTTGAAATGCAATAACTGAGAATAATTCAACGTATTTGAACAGGTCGAAGAAAACAGTCTAAGGACGCATCTATTACAGATGAAACAAGCTTGGAGAAACGGCGAATCTCCGGTATTATAGGTATTTTTTATTAAAGATAGATAAATTCGATAGTTTTTTGCATACTATCGAGTGATGCTAACAAGTCGAGCAGTGATTCTGCACCGCCATTCTTATTTGGTTTCAAACTACTATAGGTTTTTTTCTTTTCTTTTCTTGGTTTCTCTTTGTTTTAGTCTGTTAGCTACAGCTCGCTCTTCATTTTCTCTAATTGTATTTAATTTGTTATAAACCAATGAAAAGAAAAGGTGAAAGGAAGTGTGAAATTTACTGTACTAACCTTGTCTCACACATGAACCAGTTTAGTTACTTTTTTTTTTTTTAATTATTATTAATATTATCATTATTATATTTGGATTATTATTTTTTTTAACAAGTATTGCAAAAGTGAGGAGACCAATTGCTATTTAAAAAAAAGGAAAACTGTAATGGAAGATTTTTGTAGTAATAATTATTTTTTTTCTTATGTCATGGCCAATTTAAAGAGTCATAAAATGTTGGGTAAATTATGGCCACCCCTTAAGGTGTGGTCAAACTACGAAGAAATCCTTGTTGTTTGAGTAATTACGACCAACTTCCTTGTCTTATGAAAAATTTATCATTCAGTGGATAAATTTAATACAGTAAGATTGAACGAGCTTTATTCAGTAGGTAAAATTACGTAAACAATAAGGGTTTTTTTTCGTAATTTGATAATATCTCAGGGGTTTGATCGTAATTTGCCCTAAAATGTGAGTAGAATTTAGCAAACTTGAACTTGGATCTTGGCCTTTTGATTTGAATTTTATTGGCTCTGAGCCTATAAAAAGAACAATGAAATAAATAAATAAAGCAAGTAATAACAATCAAGCACTACTCTCAAAAAAAAAAAAAAAAACAATCAAACACTGCACATATTTATTTTCATTTGTATTTTCTAAAAAAAAAAAAGTTGTATATATTTTCTTTTGTATAAATAAAATTGCCAAGAAGCTGAACTAGACCGAGAATTTGCCGCGAAAATTATTCAGAATGTAATTACAAACAAGACTCTGTAATTTTATTTTATTTTCCCCTCGCCTTCAATGATTTGCAGAGCAATCTCTCCTCCAAGAGATAGAAACTTCTTCTTAAGCTTAATCAAACAGGCGACAACAATCTCGCACCTCGACCAAACCCACGCCCAAATCATCCACAACAATCTCGTCACCGACAACATAACCATCACAAAGCTCATCCAGAAACTCCTCGATTTCAAATCCCATGTCCGAGCGAAGCTCCTCTTTTCCAACACCGATTCGCCCGATCTTTTCCTTTACAATGTACTCATCAAAGGCCTCAGAAACAGCCCATTCGATTCCTTGTGTATGTACAGAAGTCTGCTCCAGAAACACGGCTTCGAACCTGATAATTTCACCTACTCGTTTGTTATCGCAGCTTTATCCGGTTTTCCGTCGTCTGCGTCTCAGAAAGTTGGGGTTTTGCTTCATGGGCATGTGATAGTTTCTGGGTTTGGCTCGGATTTGTTTGTGGGCTCGGCTTTGGTGGACATGTATGCAAAATTTTCAAGGATAAGAGATGCACATAAGGTGTTTGATGGAATATCTGAACCAGACACGGTTCTTTGGAACACGATCATTTCTGGGCTGGTGAAAACTTGTTGCTTCGACGAATCTCTTCAGGTTTTCCGGGATATGGTTAAGAGAACAAAATCGTTCGATTCGACTACATTGGCTGTAGTGCTTTCTTCTATAGCTGAGTTGCTGGAGATGAAAACTGGGATGATGGTTCAGGCATTAGCCTTGAAAATCGGATGCCATTCGCACGACCACGTGCTCACTTGTTTGGTTTCTTTGTATTCTAAATGTGGAGATATTTTCACCGCTCGATTATTGTTTAATTTAATTGGGAAACCGGATTTGGTCGCGTATAACGCAATGATTTCCGGTTATTCTTGCAATGGCGAAACCGAGCTGTCGGTTCAGCTATTTCAAGAATTGCTTTTATCGGGGTGCAAAGTTAGCTCAAGCACAATAGTTGGTTTAATTCCCGTGTTTTATCCGTTTGGATACTTGGATCTTACTCGATCAATCCATGGATTCTGTGTGAAGTCGAATTTTCTTCTCAATTCCTCCATTTCAACTGCATTGACGACAGTTTATAGTCGGCTGAACGAGTTGGAACTCGCTAGAAAGCTATTCGATGAATCGCCAGAGAAAACATTGGCATCATGGAATGCCATGATATCGGGTTACGCCCAAAACGGGCAAACGGAAACTGCAATATCTCTTTTCCACGAAATGCAAAATCTCAATATTCAACCGAATCCAGTCACAGTCACCAGTATTTTGTCAGCATGTGCACAACTCGGTGCTTTAGGGCTCGGGAAATGGGTCCACGATTTGATTAAAAAAGAGTGTTTCGAGTCAAATATTTACGTTTCGACCGCTTTGATCGACATGTACACGAAATGTGGCAGTATCGACGAAGCCAGGACTGTATTCAATAGCCTGCAAGAAAAGAATGTGGTGACATGGAATTCCATGATTTCTGGATATGGACTTCACGGATATGGACACGAGGCACTAAAGCTGTTCGATGAAATGCTTCTTTCGGGTATTTCTCCAACGGGGGTTACTTTTGTCTCGATTTTGTACGCTTGCAGTCATGCTGGTTTGGTGAAAGAAGGTGAAAGAATATTCCACTCTATGGTTTCCGATCATGGCTTCGAACCAAACTCCGAGCACTACGCGTGCATGGTGGACATTCTTGGACGAGCTGGAAAATTAGAAGAGGCGGTGGAATTTATAAATAAGATGCCGATAAAACCGGGTCCCGCTGAGTGGGGTGCATTATTAGGGGGTTGTATGGTTCACAAGAACTCAAACTTGGCTCGTTTGGCTTCCGATCAGTTATTCGAATTGGACCCTGAAAACGTGGGCTATCGTGTTCTGCTCTCGAATATATATTCGAATAACCAGAATTACGATCGGGCTGCTTCGTTAAGACAAGTGGTGAGGCGGAAGAATCTGGTGAAGACACCTGGCTGTACTTTGATCGAGGTTAACGGACAACAACACGTGTTCACTTCGAGCGATAGGGCGCACCCACAGTTGAAAGGTATATACGCAATGCTCGAGAAACTAATGGGGAAGATGAAAGATGCTGGGTATCTGGCGGAGACTGTGACTACAGCGCTGCACGACGTGGAAGAAGAAGAGAAGGAGATTATGCTGAGTGTTCACAGTGAGAAACTCGCCATTGCTTTCGGGCTTATGATGTCTGAAGAAGGAGGTGAGATTAGGATTATCAAGAATCTTAGGGTCTGTTTGGACTGTCATAATTTTACTAAATTTGTTTCTGGGATTACTGAAAGAGTAATAATTGTTAGGGATGCTAATAGGTTTCATCGTTTTGAGAATGGAGCTTGTTCTTGTGGAGACTATTGGTAAAAGATTCAACATTTAAACATGTTATAATCAAAGTTTCGTAAAATTACCATTGAATTTGAGTCCGATCGTCCGGTCGAGTTCGAAATAAAAGACATGAAGTGCGACTCCTTACGCATATTTTTGTTGTTTGTGTACTAATCAAGTTGAAATCATTTGGGGCTTTATATCTTACCGAACGGGAATCATTATCGATTTTTTTTTCTCTATGTTAACAAATCGAATAGTTCGTCTCTCAATTAACAAAACTAACAAGAAACTATATAATTGCTGTTCTTTGTTTTTTACAGTTAACAAACACAATTCTTGTACAGTTTTTTGCACTAAATCTCTACACATGAGCATTACATAGAATCTTGAGGGATGATTTAAAAAAGATATAACTGAACAATAATAGTACTACCTGCTCTCGGTTTTTTTTTTTCCCCTTTTTTTTGTTTCGAATCTTTTTAAGGACAGATAACAAAATCACACTCAAACACTGGCTGAAACTTCGTTTTCTACGGGAGTGTCCTTTTTCTTCGGAGGTTCTTGTGCTTTCTGTGTAATAGCCTTGTTTGGTATCATTACAATGAACATGTTTCTGTCCCGGAAACTTTTAGCTTCCTCGGTCGCCAGCTGTAATTGGTACAACGAAATTAGATCGGTCAAAGGATATGTATGCTCAAAGGATATGTATGCATACGAGTTTGACCGTACAAGTAAATATGGTTATGTAATGGCGGAGTGGTGAATATATACACATACCTCCCCAACATCGTTCTGAAATCGTCTGAGAAGCTCGATGGCGTTATTTCTAAATTCATTTTCACGCCCCTTCAGACTTACTATAACCTTGACCTGCACGAAAAATGCTTTTTTATAATACAGTATTGGAAGTTGAATTTCGATTGCATGGGGCAAAAAGGAATTGGACCAACCTTATCGCCGTCTTTCAAGAATCTCTGAGCTGCTCTCAAACGCACGGAGTAGTCGTGGACATCGATATTATAACTGCCACCAAATATGAAAGATGTGAGAAAGATAATTTTTTTTTATAAAAAACTGGATCATGAAACGACTAATACAAGAAATTTATAGAAAGAACAAATTGCATTGATAACAATCTGACAGTTCAAGTTAGAATTTATTCTTCAATTCATCAAGCATTTAACACCGAACAATTTGTTTCAAGAATACGTCTTTCGTATATAACAAACACTGGATTGCGAAAACCATCTCTTCATCGTAATAAAATGTATAAAATGTCATGCAAAACAGGGGATCTAAGTTTACGTACAAATGTGATCAAACATGAATTCGTATACACTTCGTCTCTTACTACGCTATATGGGCATAAAAATATAAGGAGAAAGAAAATTGAAAAACGAGATATTGATAATTGAATAACTAATTAAATCTTCAAACATATCCAGAGACACTTCGATTTCTACAAGAAAACTTACCCCATCTTCAATTCCTTCAAATCCACACGGGTAGCTGTAATTCAAGTCGGAAGTTCAGTAACACAATACGAAAAAATGCATGAGAGAGAAATTTGAAAAGAGAGTGATATTCACCAAGACTTTTCTTCTGTTGTTCTTTTTTCTTCCTCTGCTGCTCGTATTTATATTTACTGTAATAAGTTCACGAAGCAATATATAAATAAGTGCACATCGTAATTCGATCGGCTGTCACAACTATTACGTGATCATAATAACCTGCTGAAAATAAAGTTTCATTACTTGTAATCCATAATTCTTAGAACTGGAGGATCTGCATCTGGAGATAATATCACCTAATCATAGAAGCATAATGCAATAAATTAATTAATTAACTAATTAATCAAGAGAAATCAAAAGCTAGTTAACCATGAGAGCATACCAAGTCAAGCTCAGCATCCTCAGCCATTTGAAAAGCCTGAGCTTTCGATACTAATCCAACCTAGACAAATCAAAAATTAAAAAATTAAAATTAATGTTCAACCAAACAGAACCTTCATACATAACATAAGCATTATGTAGAGATACAAAACATGTATGTATATTATATAGATGAACTCACCATCTTCTGCTCTTCATCAATAAGCCTAACAGTATCAGACCTAATTTTCAAACCACATAATACCCAAATTAATCATCCGAACAGATAAAAAAGGAAATTTGTATCCCCAAATCAGTAATCACATCGATTGAGATAACTCACTTAATTGAAGAGATATCTAGGGCTTCATCAACAGGTGGCTTGGACCGCTTCGAGTAGCCGCCTCCGCCGCCGCCACCTCCTCCTCCTCCGCCGCCGTAGCGTGCGGATATGGTGGTGGAAATGGAGGGGTAAGTGGTGGGGGTACGGATGCGGAAGGAGAAGGTGTGTATATGGAGAGGGGAAGGTTTGATTGGATTAGAGAGTTGAGATTTGAAGGGGTGCTGGAAAGTGCTGCTCAGACCAGCCATGGCTGAGTGGTGGTGGTGTGGTGGTGGTGGAGGAGCTTCAGACCCAGCAAATGTAATTGGTCATCTTATCCGGATAAATTTAGGAGCCGTTTGTTTTTGGCCCTTTTGCTTTCGGTTTGGGTTTCTCTGGTTCTTTTTATGACTTT